TAGTTTTGGAGGTCCATTCTTAACCTGAAACTGTTCTTAACCTGAGGTACCACTTTAGCTAATGGGGCCTCCCGCTGCACGATTTCTGTTCTCATCCTGAAGCAAAGTTCTTAACCCAAGGTACTATTTCTGGGTTAGCGGAGTCTGTAACCTGAAGCGTCTGTAACCTGAAGTGTCTGTAACCCAAGGTACCACTGTATGTGAAAATGTTGTTAATTAAGAGACCATACTTCATTCTATGATTCTATAGAATTGTGGATTTGCAGAAAAATGTGAGGCAGAGGTCGCTGAGTTTCTGTCCCAGAGAGGCTGTAAAATCCTATGAAGAAGGAATTGACAAATCTGTCAATTTTATTTTCACTCAGTTTGTATTTTTCCCCAAATGAAGTTCAGTTTGCCACATTTCTGCATAAGGTTGTGAATGGTTGTGTGTGTGTGATAAAAAAGAATCCTCACCAAAAAAATGGTCAGTGTTTTAATGTGTATATATGTTTCTAACATAGTAGAATAATATGATGCATTTGTGTATTTTCATGAATATATGCTATTTTGTGCACATTTCCCCCCAACATTAACAATTTTAGAGGTTTTTGTTGCAGAATTGCATTACAAAATTCTGAGAAGTGTGAATTATGAAGAATAGCTGCACTTTGGTTTGAAGTCGCTGTGAAGTCAATGAGTTGGGCCATCTAAGGTTTGGGGAAATGGCGTCTGAGTCAGGGCCAGCCCACGCATGAGGCAAGGTGAGGCAACAGCCTTGGGTGGCAAGATCCACAGGAGCAGCAGATCCAGCCTCCAAGGGATGTGTTACCCACTGCTGCTGCTGGCGCAATGGCAGCGATAGCTGTGCCACACTCGTTGAAGACTAGATCTGTTGCGTCTTTGGTAGTCCCACCCCATGCTGCCTCTACACAGCCTCTCTGCGAATAACAGGTGCTGCTGGTCTCCTCTCACCCCCTAGGGAGAAAATGATGGCTGCTGCCCTTTGGGGTCTCCTGGGCTCTGTTCCCACCTGGCATGATTCAGAGTCGGCCCCTTTCTACCCATGGCCTTTGATTGCCACTTCAACTGTTGGGTAAGGTTGATTTGACCCCCACCCCATTCTGTTCCCAATGTAGATCTTTATTCCACCCTTGTTCCTGATGTAGACCTTCAATCACCCCTTCTTCCTTGGTGGGGAGCGATGGCGCCATTTTGTGGTTTGCCTCAAGTGCCAAATGTCTTGGGCCAGTCCTGATCTGAATAAATAACTGGTTTAAATCACAACAAATTTCTACAACTGCAACTGATTTGGGGAGTGTGTTTTTCCCCCTCTTTCCCAAAAGAAAGTAGGTGACCTGGGGCTTGAGAAGCCCTAGTAAAGGTGCTTCCTAAAGGAAAGATCCGGAATGTAAAGGTAAATTGCCATTAAAAGGAATAGGCTGAATTCAAGGCAGGGTGAGTGCCTCCCTGCTCTTGTCCATTGCATTTCACTCATATGTGAGGTGTGTGTTATCAGATGAGGTAGATTTACAAGTTGGATATGGTTGTTATATTATACAATATTGTTGGAGGTATCAGACATTAAGAGATTTGCATTGCTCAGGCTCATCATTCCCTTTGTATCCTAGAGGCTTGCATTTCACACTAGGAAAATATAGTTTGTTGTTGGCTGCCATGATTGACTTTAACTGTAATCCTGCCTTAACCCCAAACCAGTCAGTCCCAAGCAACACCCTGTCTGAAACCAGACCAACAGCAGCATCACATTCGCTATGACAAGACGCTATGACACATTCGCTCTGCGGGACAAGAACGGCTAACAGAGGACACCTAGTGGTGTGTTAGTCCCATGGAGTAAAGTTCCACAATTGAACCATAATCACATTTCATGCAGTTTTCCATTCATTTTGACCATTGTTGATTTCCTGATTTTTTTTAAGGGTAGCTTGTTTGCAATTGTGCAATTATAATTCAACAAATAGGTTTGCTTTACCAGGGGTAGACAACGAGGGGTCCTCTGGGTGCTGTTGAACTACAGTTCCCATCATCCCTGGCCATTTGCTACATTGGCTTTTCCAACATTGGCTGCCTTTGCCCTTAGAGACAATCTGTTGTTTTTTGCTTCCAGTTTTTAGAGTTACTGTTAATAAACTGGTTTTCTCTTTAATAATAATTTTTAAGTCTTAACACTGACACACAATACTACCACCCCCGATATGACCATGACTATAGTAGCTGGGTATAAGAGAAGACGATGCGCTGCATGTCACTCACATGAATATGTTGATGCAAACTCATTTTGTTGAATGTAAAATGGACGGGGGTGTGTGTTTCCAGATGAGCATAGACCATGGGATTGGGCTCTTCTCTGGCATGCAAGCTTTTTGCAATATCCACATGCTGTAACTTGTGTTAAAATACCAGCATGTATTCCCTGCCCCCCCCGTTTAATCCAGATTGACCCTTACCACAGATAATCTAATAGGTCAGGCACCCCCAAACTCGGTCCTCCAGATGTTTTGGAACTACAATTCCCATCATCCCTGACCACTGGTCCTGTTAGTAGGGATGATGTAGTCCTAAAACATCTGGAGGGCCGAGTTTGGGGATGCCTGTAATAGATAAACAACAACAACAAAAATGGACTCTGAAGACCACTGGCAAATTTTACTCCATGCATGGGTAGGGACAGAAGGAGTGGAGGTGAAAGAGGAGCATCCACACATTGTGCCATAAGGAAAGTGTTTGTTCTTTTTCCCATTCAGGAGCCCAAAAAAAGGATTGGCTCAAAAGGGGAACAAATTTCAATTCGGGTTTTTTTGCTTGTTCTGCTACAGCAGCAAAAAGCAGTTTTTCATTTTTCTGCATTGTGATATAAATGAAAAGTTTTCAGACCAGTGCTACTGATCTGATGCAAAATCTAAGAAAATATGAGACAAACAGAAGTGTGAAAGGCCCTCATTCTGAAAAACTCAAGTTTGTTTTCCCATCAGTAGCACATCATTTTCAGAATGTAGGTGGTGGTGGTTAATGATATAAGCACTAATCTGAAATAATTTGAAGGTGTTCCACATATCTAAACTGTGTGTCTGTTGTGAATAGCAATTACATTTTTAATCCAGTTGATATCTCATTCTGTGGCTATAAGATGCCTTGTACATCTTCATATACAGTGGTACCTCGCAAGACGAATGCCTCGCAAGACAAAAAACTCGCTAGACGAAAGGGTTTTTTGTTTTTTGAGCTGCTTCGCAAGACGATTTTCCCTATGGGCTTACTTCGCAAGACGGAAACGTCTTGCAAGTTTGTTTCCTTTTTCTTAACACTGTTAATACAGTTGCAACTTGACTTCGAGGAGCAACTCATAGAACACGGTGTGGTAGCCTTTTTTGAGGTTTTTAAAGACTTTGGTGATTTTTGAAGCTTTTCCAAAACTTTCCCGACACCATGCTTCGCAAGACGAAAAAAATCACAAGACGACAACACTCGCGGAACGAATTAATTTCGTCTTGCGAGGCACCACTGTATACATCTAGGAATGAATGAATGAATACAGTGGTGCCCCGCAAGACGAATGCCTCGCAAGACGGAAAACTCGCTAGACGAAAGAGTTTTCCGTTTTGGAGGTGCCTCGCAAAACGAATCTGCTATGGGCTTGCTTCGCAAGACGAAAATGTCTTGCGAGTTCCTGGGTTTTTTTCCCCCTTTTCCCTCTTTTTCTAAGTCGCTAGCCGTTTATCTGCTTATCCGATAAGCTGATAAGCTGCTAAAAGCCGCTAAAAGCCGCTAAAGCCGCTAATAGCGCTATTAGCGCTAATCCGCTAATCCCATCAATGGGCTTGCTTCGCAAGACGAAAAAACCGCTAGACGAAGAGACTCCCAGAACGGATTCTTTTCGTCTTGCGAGGCACCACTGTAATGTGAATCGCAGCTTTGCTCATATGTTTCACAGTCTGTGAAAAATGGGAAAACCCACAGCCAAGACCAGAGCAGATATCATTTAAAAGTACATACAGTATCTTAAACTTAGTGGAAAGTATGATTTCATAAGGAGAAGTGATGCACTGCAAAGATAGGCCTGACAGGGAACATAGGTTGAGAGAAAAAGGATGATCAGTTAAGCTGCTAAGAACTAGCACCCACCTCCTGACCTAGCACTACTCCCCTGTTCTTTGTTCCTGATGCTTCTGTTTCATTTCATTCCTAAAACCCTCTTTTGTTGTTTGCGATACTGTATGAGAGTGCATGATAGCAAGTACAGATTCAGTGACAAATGACGCATTCTGGATTAAGACATCCATGAGTAGCATGCCATTGCCTCAAGCCTCTGCTCAGGGACCCAGATAATAAGTAGCATTGTGTGTGGCAGGCACCAGGAATAAATTTCTGTGGCTCTTATTTGATGCAGGAGTAAGATGGGCGCCCAGATTGCCTCTGACTCACCCAGGCCTTGCACAGCCAGACAGCACCCTTCCCTCCTATGTGCCTAACACTGCCTTATCCATGTTGTTATGTAAATATACATCTTGTAAGAGTGGAGTGAGGTGTGTCTGGCACCTACGTCATATGGCTTTCATCATATGCTGGAGATGCACCTGTTTACCCTTGGCACATGAAAGATATGTTCTTAGGACCCATACTCTTAATTTCACTGCAAATTGTCTGAACTGATTTTCATCTTCTGTTTTTATATCGTAACCTGCTCAGGGATATTATGGAGAAAGGCAAGTCTCATCAGTACTTTGTACTCTTACTAGATTATGCTTCTTGTCTGAATGGTTTCTTTTGTCTAGCTGTTTCCCTACCATAATCCTTCCAGATTATGGATTCTCACTTGCCCTCCACAGTATGTTATACTGATCTTTTAATACAAAACTTTCATTTGTATAAATATTGTGCACACTAAAAGCAAATTCAGGTGCTAGGTTTGTGATGGGCTATGTAGCCAAAACAAGGCCATTGATCCATAAGACAGCAGCCTCAGCATGCTCAGGGGGCACCTGCAGAGACAGAGGGAAGGGCTCAGGGGCAAAGCATTTGCTTTGCATGCAGAACATCCCAGGTTCAATCCCTGCCATCTACAGGAAAGACTCGGAATGCCACCTGTCTATAGCCCTGAGGAGATACTGCCAGCCAGTGTAGACAGTAGGGAGCTAGATGAATCAATGGGCTGACTCAGAATAAGGCAGCTTCCCACGTTCTGGGTTCTTAGTTCCAAGGTTTACAAAAGTAGGGGAGGGGGAGATGGGGAGAGGAAACCAAAACAGCCCAGTTAGGACTGAACTTGCTCAGTGGCTGAGAAGTCTGTCTGGGAGAAAGGCATGGAAAAATGAAGAGAGGAGAGAATGGAGCATCCCGGAAGAAGATGTGGCTGGCTGGCTAGAACACTGAGGAGGAGCTCTCCCCACTTAAAAATACTGTTGCAGGTTCCACTTACCTATTTTAACTTGGCAACATAGCACTCCTAAGTAATGGAGATCCCCATGTGTTATGTTTTCAACAAGGTTCTTCATGGAATAAAAAAAAAATCCAATTACATAAATGATTTGAACACTATTTTCTAATGTGGGTAATAAAGTATCCATGTTAAGAGTTGGGCTGTGTACATACCGGTACTCCTGTTTAGGGAAGCTTTTAATGTTTGATGGAGTACTGTATTTTAATATTTTGTTGGAAGATGCCCAGAGTGGCTGGGGAAGCCCAACCAGATGGGCGAGGTATAAATAATAAATTATTATTATTATTATTATTATTATTATTATTATGGATCCAGGGCACTCCCAGTGCTGCAGTCCATATCTATCTTGTATCTATCCTGACTTGTGCACAGCCTTGAATTCATTACATGCAATCGAAACAAGCCTTTGGGGCCAGCAGGATCCTTTAAAGATTAAGGCACACTCTGGATTCTCTTCTGAATATCATACTTTAGTCTGACACCTGCTTTATGATACGTTTATTGTTTTCTGCATTCGTGAAGTGGCAGTATTAAGATGAGGATCGCAGCTGAAAACAAACAAAAGGGGGAACAAAATTTGAATTTGTTGTTGTTTAGTCGTTTAGTCGTGTCCAACACTTCGTGACCCCATGGACCAGAGCACGCCAGGCACTCCTGTCTTCCACTGCCTCCCGCAGTTTGGTCAGACTCATGTTTGTGGCTTCGAGAACGCTGTCCAACCATCTCGTCCTCTGTCGTCCCCTTCTTCTTGTGTCCTCCATCTTTCCCAACATCAGGGTCTTTTCCAGGGAGTCTTCTCGTCTCATGAGGTGGCCAAAGTATTGGAGCCTCAGCTTCACGATCTGTCCTTCCAGTGAGCACTCAGGGCTGATTTCCTTAAGAATGGATACGTTTGATCTTCTTGCAGTCCATGGGACTCTCAAGAGTCTCCTCCAGCACCATAATTCAAAAGCATCAATTCTTCGGCGATCAGCCTTCTTTATGGTCCAGCTCTCACTTCCATACATCACTACTGGGAAAACCATGGCTTTAACTATACGGACCTTTGTTGGCAAGGTGATGTCTCTGCTTTTAAGATGCTGTCTAGGTTTGCCATCGCCTTTCTCCCAAGGAGCAGGCGTCTTTTAATTTCGTGACTGCTGTCACCATCTGCAGTGATCATGGAGCCCAAGATAGTAAAATCTCTCACTGCCTCCATTTCTTCCCCTTCTATTTGCCAGGAGGTGATGGGACCAGTGGCCATGATCTTCGTTTTTTTATGTTGAGCTTCAGACCATATTTTGCGCTCTCCTCTTTCACCCTCATTAAAAGGTTCTTTAATTCCTCCTCACTTTCTGTCATCAAGGTTGTGTCATCTGCATATCTGAGGTTGTTGATATTTCTTCCGGCAATCTTAATTCCGGCTAGGGATTCATCCAGCCCAGCCTTTCGCATGATGAATTCTGCATATAAGTTAAATAAGCAGGGAGACAATATATAGCCTTGCCGTACTCCTTTCCCAATTTTGAACCAATCAGTTGTTCCATATCCAGTTCTAATTGTAGCTTCTTGTCCCACATAGAGATTTCTCAGGAGACAGATGAGGTGATCAGGCACTCCCATTTCTTTAAGAACTTGCCATAGTTTGCTGTGGTCGACACAGTCAAAGGCTTTTGCATAGTCAATGAAGCAGAAGTAGATGTCTTTCTGGAACTCTTTAGCTTTCTCCATAATCCAGCGCATGTTTGCAATTTGGTCTCTGGTTCCTCTGCCCCTTCGAAATCCAGCTTGCACTTCTGGGAGTTCTCGGTCCACATACTGCTTAAGCCTTCCTTGTAGAATTTTAAGCATAACCTTGCTAGCATGTGAAATGAGTGCAATTGTGCGGTAGTTGGAGCATTCTTTGGCACTGCCCTTCTTTGGGATTGGGATGTAGACTGATCTTCTCCAATCCTCTGGCCACTGCTGAGTTTTCCAAATTTGCTGGCATATTGAGTGTAGCACCTTAACAGCATCATCTTTTAAAATTTTAAATAGTTCAGCTGGAATATCATCACTTCCAGTGGCCTTGTTATTAGCAGTGCTTTCTAAGGCCCATTTGACTTCACTCTCCAGGATGTCTGGCTCAAGGTCAGCAACCACACTACCTGGGGTATACGAGACATCCATATCTTTCTGGTATAGTTCCTCTGTGTATTCTTGCCACCTCTTCTTGATGTCTTCTGCTTCTGTTAGGTCCTTTCCACTTTTGTCTTATATTATGGAAATCTTTGTACGAAATGTTCCTTTCATATCTCCAATTTTCTTGAACAGATCTCTGGTTTTTCCCATTCTATTGTTTTCCTCTATTTCTTTGCATTGCTCGTTTAAGAAGGCCTTCTTGTCTCTCCTTGCTATTTTTTGGAAATCTGCATTCAATTTCCTGTATCTTTCACTATCTCCCTCGCATTTTGCTTGCCTTCTCTCCCCTGCTATTTGTAAGGCCTCGTTGGACAGCCACTTTGCTTTCTTGCATTTCCTTTTCATTGGGATGGTTTTAGTTGCTGCCTCCTGCATAATGTTACGTGCCTCCATCCATAGTTCTTCAGGCACTCTGTCCACCAAATCTAAATCCTTAAACCTGTTCCTCACTTCCACTGTGTATTCATAAGGGATTTGACTTATATTGTATCTTACCGGCCTAGTGGTTTTTCCTACTTTCTTCAGTTTAAGCTTGAATTTTGCTATAAGAAGCTGATGATCTGAGCCACAGTCAGCTCCAGGTCTTGTTTTTGCTGACTGTATAGAGCTTCTCCATCTTTGGCTGCAGAGAATATAATCAATCTGATTTTGATGCTGCCCATCTGGTGATGTCCATGTGTAGAGTCGTCTCTTGTGTTGTTGGAAAAGAGTGTTTGTGATGACCAGCTTGTTCTCTTGGCAGAACTCTATTAGCCTTTGCCCTGCTTCGTTTTGAACTCCAAGGCCAAACTTGCCAGTTGTTCCTTTTATCTCTTGACTCCCTACTTTAGCATTCCAATCCCCTATAATGAGAAGAACATCCTTCTTTGGTGTCATTTCTATAAGGTGTTGTAAGTCTTCATAGAATTGGTCAATTTCAGTTTCTTCAGCACCAGTGGTTGGTGCATAAACTTGGATTACTGTGATGTTAAAAGGTCTGCCTTGGATTCGTATCGAGATCATTCTATCATTTTTGAGATTGCATCCCAGTACAGCTTTTGACACTCTTTTGTTGACTATGAGGGCCACTCCATTTCTTTTACGGGATTCTTGCCCACAGTAGTAGATGTGATGGTCATCCGAACTGAATTCGCCCACTCCCGTCCATTTTAGTTCACTGATGCCCAGGATGTCAATATTTATTCTTGCCATCTCATTTTTGACCACATCCAACTTACCAAGGTTCATGGTTCTTACATTCCAGGTTCCTATGCAATCTTTTTCTTTACAGCATTGGACTTTCCTTTCACTTCCAGGCATATCCGCAACTGAGCGTCCTTTCGGCTTTGGCCCAGCCGCTTCATCAGCTCTGAATCTACTTGTACTTGTCCTCCACTCTTCCTCAGTAGCATGTTGAACGCCTTCCGACCTGAGAGGCTCATCTTCCAGCATCATAACTTTTATATGCCTGTTGTCTTTGTCCATTGAGTTTTCTTGGCAGGGATACTGGAGTGGCTTGCCTGTTCGTGCTCCAGGTGGATCACGTTTGGTCAAAACTCTCCACTATGACCTGTCCATCTTGGGTGGCCCTGTATGGCATAGCTCATATCTTCTCTGAATTATTCAAGCCCCTTCGCCACGGCAAGGCAGTGATCCATGAAGGGGAAAATTTGAATTAAAAAACATTAATGCGATAATTCTATTGACCAAAGCAGAGTCTGGCAACGTTAGATTGTTTAGCTTCAGGTGCCCTCTAGTGTACATGTGAAAATGCTAATATGGGTGTTAGGAAGTGCTTTTTTTCCAGGGGGACACAGGGGTATGCATACCCCTAAACATTTTGTGAATCTAAGTTTGGCTTTGTTGAGGGGCAGTATTTCAATATGAGTAGGAAAATGAGAGTACCCCTAAACATTTTTTTAAGAAAGAAAAAAAGCACTGGTGTTAGGACCTAGTGAGGTTCCCATGAAATTGTAGGATTCTGAATGGAAATGTCGCTATTAAGGTGGATGATAGCTAAGTGGACTGGTAATCCCTAGCTTGTAGTATACTAATGTTTTTAGTACTGAAAAGCATCAGAATAGGTTGTCATTCTGTATTCAGCCCTGGAAGCTTCAAAATACAGCCATGTGAGCATCTGCTTTCCAAATGGCTGTTGAACAGCATTAGAATGGATCGAAATTCTGCAGACCACAAATATCAAAATAAGAAACGTTTGTTTGTTTATTGAATAGCATCCATAAGCTGCTCAGTAACGCCTTTTCCAAATAGCTGTAGGAATGCACTGAGATTGTTTGCACCGAGATTGTTTGCATTCCGTGAAATACCCAGCCCAGTCACTCAGTTTGTTTTGGGACCCTTGGGTTGCCTGTCTCTCCACTAGGCTTGTACAGTATCAGAGCTCACTGCCTTGAGCAAGTCATTCTCTGGGCACCACGCCTCAGCTATACTGCCATCTCCACATCTGCCAATCATTATCCCGTAAT